TTGTGCCTTTTGTCCCAACGCACACAAAAGAAAGTATGATGAGGCGATCCACGATTTCGCAATCTTGTCAAGTTTTAAAGCGTATTAACCGCCATTGTTTGGGTTAATGACCGGAAGTCTTTGTCCGGATTTTTGCAAACATCCTCATTTATCCAGTGGTATCATGAAAAGATTAGAAAATTGTCTTTCTATCCTCCGAAAGCTGTCCGACTTGATCACCCCTTTTAATGAAATGAATTTAAGAAATTATAATACAGTAGCAACTCGGATCATGATGATTCGAGTGAGTGACGTCATTGTGCAAAATATCCACGCGGAAGAGTTCGGTGCACACGAATAATCTTTCTAAATGTAATCCTGCACGTCTTCAAGAAAGAAAAAAAGAATACTATTCTGTTATCATTAAATGTTATGTGCACTGAGAAACGATGCAAGTATGTTGTACAGTATTTTCCATGCTGATGGTAAGCACATCATGAAACTTGAAGACAGTATTTTCTTTCTCTTTTTTTCCCGTCCATGTTCTGGAAATCCGAGACGATTGCAGGGATCAGGAAGAGCGGCTTGTGTCGAGAAGGATTCTTTCTTTTTTTTATTCTTTGACATTGGGTCGAAAGGGATGAAGTTTGAAGTGAATGCAAGGAGTTGTATATATTGTACTGTTTATGGATAAATATATTGTGGGCATTTTTATTTTCTGCAGGTACACTGGGATTGCTGATTACGCAGACGGTGCTCATCGACGAGAATAACACAGGGTTGTCGCCGGTGGGTTTCCTGAGAAGGCGGGTGTCGCTTTTCGGCGTCAAGCTCGCCCGTGTGGAATTGTATTCGATTCTGATCACCATCCAAGTCCTGCTGATCTTGCCTCTTCTCCTCGCTTATATAGGTATCATTTCTCAGTATTTATTTTTTCACTGTATCCCCAATTAAAAACGTACCTAAAGTCGAGGACGACTAGTTGAAGTGATGTGAGTTGATTAATGTGACACGAAATCAGAATGGGTTGTGCTGTGCTTTCGGAGAATTTTGTTTCATAATTGCAGTTGGTCTTGTTAGTTGGATGGATGACATCATTTTAATACAGCAGAAACTTGTTACGACAAATCTTAGTACACTATAAAAAATCTTTTGCCTGCTTAATCTAGGGGGACTCTCTCTCTCTCTACAAGCAAATTTAGAAGACCGGTAAACAAATTTGCTGAGGGGAACCCCTATTTAATTATTTTTGGGACCGAAAAAATCGTTATTCAGATAAAGTCGTGAAATGATTTATTTGTAGTCGCAATATAATATGAAATTCTGTATCGAGAATGTTTGTTATAATGATGCTTTTAATGAGTTCAAGGTACTCTGTTGAAGTTTGGATTGTTTAGGTTGCCTTGTGAGTTCATTAGAACAAATCGTCGTTATAACGAATAATTGCTAACAACAATTTTATCAGGTCCGTGTCCGATTGTCACAATAATGATATTTGAAATTTTTAAATAAATTTTTCCGCTGTAACGAAGCTGTTATACTGGTCCCAATGGTTTTGTTCGAACAAGATTTTACCTTGTGTTGTTCTTCATTTTTTTCGCGATTTTTCCCGCGAGAAAAATTAAAGCAGTCATCAATTCACGAAAAGAATATAACGATGATCCCAAGGTTCCATTTGGGATCATCGTTCTTCTAGAGAAAGAGAAAAATCCTGCCATGAATGTTTTTTCTGGGGCTCTTGGTTCTATTGAAATCTTTCTATCATTTACAGTGAAAGTGGTCAGATTCCACTCGAGGATTCCTCCTCCGGACGTGTACCTTGAGGAGGAATTGCTGACTTCGTACATGCGACATCAACCGAATGCCGAAGTGGGTGTCAGGTAAGTACTTTTCTCGTCGTTGGCTGTTGACTACAAGGCAAGAACCTTTTGCCAATAAATCGATCGTTTTAGCGAGAAACAATTACATTTTTTTGCTATTCATGTTCAGCTTATTTACAGTACACTACTACAGTACTAGTTCGGATCAATGAGTGCCCAAGTTTCTTGAAACGTTATGTGCATCCAGAAATGCGCTCGATTGACGTAGAG